CAGGAGACGGGACCAGGCTGCCCGCGGGGGGAGGCAGTGCTTGCAGTCCACACGCTGGCCTCTCCCAGAGTTCCCTGGGGCACAGAGAACTGCTGCTCTCTGAGAAAAGACAGCCGACAGGCAGGAGAGGTGGACACTGTGCTGAGGGCCACGGGAACACAGGCGGGGGCTCAGCCCTGCTAGCCATCGGGTCACCACAAATTAAAATTGCCATCTGATGCCCCCAGACACCACCGCACAGCTAGAGAGTGGTGAGGACGTGAACAGCTACCTTGGGGTGCATCTGACAGTGCTTCCTAGATGCCCCCAGGGCCACTTGTGACCTAGGTACAAGCTCACCACAACACTGCCGTCTGCCCACCAGAAGCACACGTGGTGTTCCTAGCTGCCTCGCACTGGGAAGTGTCCAGTGGCTATGGACAGTGGAGTGAATAACCAAGAGCAGGCCAGGCGGTGGTGGAGCCGCCTCAAGAGCCCGGGGGAGCAGGAGAGGAGGCTCGGCCAGTGCCCAGCGAAGGCGGCTGGAGACAAGGCAGAGGTGCCGTGGGATTCTATCTAAGTGAGACTCCTGCTTGGGCACAACTGGCTGTTGCTGCTGAAAATGGGGCTGGTGCTCCCCCTCRGGGTGCCAGGGAGAGGAAGGGAGCCCGAGGCGCTTCCTGGAGGTCTGCTCCCCCCTGAGAGCTGCACCCACAGGTCCAGGTGGCAGATGCCTCAAGTGGGCACTGGATGCTGTATACTTCACCCTTGAGCCTTGTACAAGGACAGGCCTTTCTGGGCCTCACTAGGGAGATGGACAGAGCAGTCCTGCAGAGGCCCATCCCCTCAGGCTGCCTGACCAGGGCCTTGGAGCTCCATCCTGGTCGGTCGCCTCTTTCCGGTCTAGGTGGAGCACTGACACCAGCAGGGCAGTGGGAAGTCGCTTCGTATACAGCATCCCTCTGTGGAGCGCGTGCTCCTTCCATACTGCCCACCTGGCTGAGGGCCTGGGTAGCGTCCAGGCGTGGAGGCTGCAGTGGCTGAGGCTGAGGCCTTGCTGCCTCCCTCGGGGCCTCCTTCCTCACACTGGGGCCCCTCCTCAGAGCAGCAGGCCGAGAGGCCAGCGCATCCTTCTCACAGGCACAGATGGAGGAGGGGAAGCCTGGGAAGCAGGGGGCCACTGGGGGCTGCCCGCAGCTGGGCCCGCGCAGGCTGGGAGCCAGATCGAGGGCATCCGATTCCCAGTCCCATCTCTTTCCCACTGAGCCTCTCTGCCTCGCTTTTAATTTAATTAGGAGAACATTTACCACCCCCTCCCCTGTGCATTTCAGAGATGGGTTTGTGCCTGGCTGGCCGTGTGGGGCTCTGACGGGGGACTCTGACTCTGAGTTCTGCTCCGTCCCCAACCCGGGCTCCCCTGGGGCTTCTTGGCACCTGGGTAGGCAGAGGTGACCTGGAACTTCACAGGTCGAGAGGACAGACCGGGCCCTCTGTTCTTGGCAAGGCCCTCCCCGGGCCCTGACACTGGGCCTGGCACAGCCCCTCAGTCCCTTTCCACTCGGGGTTGTGGGTTGGGAAACCCAGGACGGCGCAGTGGAGCTTGCCACGGAGCCATGCCCTGTGCTGAGCAGGCCCATCAGGAGCTGGTCCGGTGCCAGCCGTGTGGCGTTTGCCCACATTTCCAGAAGGCACGGCTGGCCCCGGCCTCGCTGACAAACACGGAATTCAGGAGACGTTAGTTCTGCTGTGGATGAAAGCCAGGCCACAGCGGCCTTGCTGGAAAAGAGAAACTTGAACGTCTTGGCGTGAGATTCTGCAGGGTCCAGGAGAAAGTCGAAGACATGGAAATTCTAATGAATGCACACAGGGCTGGTGTTGCTCAAGGGTTTCCACAGTTGTCATGTTGCAAGAGGCCAGGCAAGCACATGGTCACTAGGGCAGCCCTTGGTCACCTGGTGCTGCCTGCAAGGGCCCAGACCACATGCYGGCCTTCCCTCGGCCACCTCTGTGCCTTCTGCCCAGCTCAGGGCCCCAGCCTTCCCGCACCCATCCCAGTGGACTGGGTGCCCCTCGACGCAGGTGCCTAGTGAGCACAGGCTGAGGCTTGCCCATTCCAGATGTCGCAACAGAGAAGACAGGCAGGGTCAGGGGCCAAGTGTCGCGCAAGGACCTGTCGCAGGGCCCAGCAGGCGCAGGCGCTGGGCTGGCAGTAGCTTGAGCTCTGGGGCCATCCTGCTTGGGTGTCCAGGTACAACTGATGAGGTTCCAGGCCAGCCCTGGCTGGCTCAGGAGCCCTGTGGGGGACTGCAGAGTGGTGGTGAGAGCAGCTCACCCAGGCCATACTGCACACGGCTGAGCTCAGAGCCGCTGGTGGCCGTGCCTGGGCCTGTGTCAGCGCTGTGGCAGGTCCTGCGAGGTCTGGCCCATGTCCTCTGCTGGGGCTAGGAGGGCTCTCCATGCTGCAGTGCTAGCCCTGGGGTCACCCTATCTGCAGCCTTGGTGTGATGGAGAGCGAGAGGTCACAAGGGGACACACAAGGGTCCAGCCCCACGCCAAGGGTTCAGGGAGCTGGTACTTAGGACCAGAGGCAGAGGCCACCCGGCCTAGGAGCAGTTGGGGGACTCCCCGAGGCAGGATGACTGAGGAGACACCAGACGATGGGCACTCTAGATGCGAGACACCAAATGTCAAGTACAGAGTGGTAGCCCCCACTGTCCTGCCAGGGCCCTCAGTGGAGAGGACAGCAGGTAGGACAGGATTCAGGGAACTCATCTTGGCTGTCAATGTGCAGGGTCGCCTGTCCCCTTGAGGTCCCCAATGCTACCCACAAAGGCCCCACTCGGGCTTTGTCCACGCCTACCCTTCAGAAGCCCACAGCAGGGCTCTGGGTGGAGGAGTCGGGGAGCCTGAGGCAGAGGGGCTCCCTTCYGGCCCATCAGTCTCAGGGAGAGAGGTGTGGGCACGGCAAGGGCCCCGGGGCTGTGCGGTGAGCCGATGGGGTCGGCAGAGCCACTCTGTCCCCCAGAAGCCTGTGCCCAGTCCCTGCTCACCAGCAACTCCCTGTTTTACGCCAGGTCTGTGAGCCCCCCAGCCCTCACCAGCCCACAGCCCTGGAAAGAAGCCCCGCAGCCCCCGGGAGCTTCCCCAAGTCCCGGCTGCAGACCTCACCTCCGGGCCCTGCAGGCGGGAGAGCTGAGAGGGACACCACACGTGTCCGTTTACGCCTTCAGCTGAGCGCTGGGGCTGCCCAGCGTGGCAGGAGAGTGCGGAAGAGAGACGGGTCTGGTTCTCAGCAGCCACCCACTCTGCCCCTTTCAGGTCCCTGTCACCAGGTGTGTGCCCGTCTAACCTGCACGGGTCCATGTGCCCGGCTGCCCACAGGAGCTCACTCAGCTGGGGCTCCTGTGGGCAGGCCATGCGAGAGCCAGGGGACATAGCCCCATGGATGCACAAAGGTGGTCACACCCACGTCCACACTGTGCCCACTTGGGCCTGCCTGCTCCCCAGGGTGGGGTGGGGTCTGGGCCAGGCCCCTGGCCCTGGGGTCCCTGGAACAGGACACTAGTGTGCCCGTGCCCTAGCTCCTCCAGCTGGGACCCCACCTGAGACGCCCAAGGATGCAGGTGCCCAGGGGCTGGCCAGAATGACTATCCAGTGAATGGACGGCGGGCGACGGCCCTGCCCCTGGGGTCTGGTCTGTGCCGGGAGAGCAAAGGGGAATGGGTTTCCACAGAGAGGAGTGGTCCCGAGGACGAGAGGGGAAGACTGGGTGGCCCTGGAGGCCTAAGTGGCATCTTGGGGCCTGCTGGGGTTTCCAGCGTCCTCCTGGTGGTCCCCATTCCTGAGTGGCCTCTGACACCCACGTGACACACGCCGCCATTCAACTCTAGTGTCTGTCACTTTGGGTTCTCACGCCTTGGGCTGACTGAAGCCTGGAGCACAGCACACGCTGCTGTCCTGCCTCTGGGGCCAGCTGTGTCTGCCCACCTGTCTGCTGGCCTCTCTGGCCACTCCTGCCTGCTTACCCAGCCGGCCTGTCACGCTGTCTTTGGAGGGGGAGACACCCTGATTTCCAGTGACCTGTGGCCTCCTCTGAGCCCAGGAAACTCCCTCTCCATGTCCTGCTAGCCGTGGGGCACTGCCACCCTCGCTGTGGGCCTGGGTGGCCTAGGAAGGTGGCCTGTCTTCCTGGGTTGGCCTCCCTTTGGCTGCCTGGCCCTGCCAGCCGCTGGTCACTCGAGCAGACCCCGCACTGTGGTTCCCAGTTACTCAGCTACCTGCCGGGCTAAGTTCACACCTGGCTGTGGGCAGGAGCAAGAGGCACTGGGCCACAGTGTGACAAGGGTGCACAAGGGAGGGTCAACCTCCGACCCCAGAGAGCCCCAGGAGAAGACGCACCCTCGCTGCAGAGTCAGGAGAGCAGCAGAGAGCCAGCGAGCCGCCCCTGAGGGCTGAGAGTGGCGCTCCTGCAGGGGACTGCCCAACAGGGTGGTGCCCACGGGCCTGAGCAGCCACCCACCCCACTGCATGGTGTCCCCTGGCTTCCTCGGTGGCCTTCCCGAGTCGCCTGTCGCAGGGGAACCACAGCATGGTTGGTGCCGGGAAGTGGCGGGGGAAGCTGTAACTCAGGGCGTGTCCCAGGCCGGCAGTGCCCGGGTGGCCAGCTGGGAGGTGTGGAAAGTCAGCCATTTGCTGTACCCGAAGGAGCCCCTGAGGTCAGCAGTGACAATTGGCAGATGGCACCCACACCTCCATGGCTTTGGCCAGGGTTCCGCAGGGGAGGCAAGGGACTAAGAGAGAAAGACGATCTTCTGAGATGCTCAGGGCACAGAAACCAGTGGAAACCGTCGTGCGGCGTCCCCGACGCAGTGGACTGTCCCTGTCCTCCTGGCAGCAGTGGCCCTCGGCTCCCGAGGGTGGGGAGGGTGCTGCGTGCTGGCAGGCCAGCATGTCTTCCCCTGTGCCAAGGTGCCCCTCTGAGCCCAGCCCCTCCGGCCCAGACTTGGGCGCGTGGCACTCACTGTGACACGTGGGTGATGGGGGCCAGCAGCGTCTCCCCTTCCAGGTCCAGGTCCTCGGCAAAGCTGCTGGTTCTCAGGAAGTGGGCCGGGCTCACCTCCAGCAGCGTGGGGCTCTTCCTCACTGTGGAGAAGGTACAGGACGCCATGAGGCCTCCCCAGAGCGGCTGAGCTCGAATGGTCACCCCCACCTGGCTGCGGGGGCAGAGACCTGTGAGCTCCTGGGCCCTGGTGCTCGGGAACCTCAACCATCAGGCTGGCGCTGGGAGGGGTGGGGGCAAGCGGGTGACCTCGGTGCCCCCAGGATGGTAATGGCCAGTGACTTCTCAGTGTGGGGCTGAGCCCACGAGTCCCGGGCCTCTCCCCAGCCTTACACCTGCCGGCTGGGTCAGGATAAAGGACCGGCACAGGTCTAGTGAGGCGGGATGCCCACGGCCACGCTGTCACGCACACACCGCAGCCACAGGCCAGGAACTGGAGGGTGAGGTGGGTGCGCAGAGCCCTGCTCCGGTCACCGTGCGCGGCAGCCTCTGAACCGGTCAGTGCTTGGGCTCARTCTACCCTTTCTTAAAGATTTTATTGCAAAAGAAGTGAGTGCACCCGAGAGCTGGGGCAGGTCAGAAGTTTCCAGGGGCTTCCCCCGGCGGGTGGGCCCGGGTGAACTGCCGGCTGGATCCCAAGCTGCCACCCCTCTGTCCCTGCCACTGTGCCCCCATGCTCCTCATGTTTCTCCAGGGGCATGGACTTGGACCCTACGACTCCTCGGCCTAGACCTACGGCGTGAGCACGCCCACTCTGTGTGTGGGGTGCCCAGGCCTCGTAGATCTAGGCCCTTCCTGTGGACAGTGACAAGAAGCTGTCACGTGGGGGTGGGGGAGTGGGGGAGGAGAGTGTGTCCTCCGCTGTTTCAGTCAATGTTGCTGGTGGCACCCGACGCCTCCCCATTTCCCTTGTCCACGACGGCTGTCGGCGCCCTTGGTGAGGCCCACCGAGCGGGCGAGGCCCAGGTGCCGGGTGCCTTTCTGGGCCTGGTGGCTACGGGCTCCTCTCAGAACTGCCTGTTCATGTCCTTGGCTCATCTCTGCGTCTTCCTGTTTAGGAAATGTCTACATTGGAGGAGATCCTCTGACGTAGGAGGGACGGGCACTTTCCAGTCCCCTCTGGGGCTTTTGGACTCAGTTGTGTTATCATTGAGGAGGTTTTGTTTTTTTATGATGATCTRTCTTTGGCTTTATGAAAAACGAAGATGCCCTCATAGCTAACTAGTACAACTGCCTTTTAAGTTCATTCCTAACCAAAGTCGAAGGTGTGTTAGTGTGAATTTCACCACGTGGTGGTCATCCTCATGTGAGAAATTAAAAGGTACTACATACGACCTGAAGAATGAGTCTAAAATAAAACTAGTGCCAGAACACTTAAGGGATGCTTATAATTCAGCAGGAATAAAGCCAACAATCAATATAAAAATTGTGTCATAAATAAGCACATAAAAAGGTGCTTGGTCCACATCGGTAGTCACTGGAAAATACAAATTCAAACCACAGTGAGGTCCGCCACAGCTTTAAAAGAATGCTGAAGCCCAAAGGAACACCCCCACCTGGCCCCTGGGAGCACTCACGGGGAGCAGAGGGCCGGGACCTCTGTGCTGGCCGAGTGCCAAGCAGCCAGCCACCTGCAGAAGGTCCAGCAGTTCCCTGTAGCCTGCACAGCCCGCGTGACCTGGTGGTCCCTTTCCCAGACCCRTAGCTCAGTGGACTGGAAACGTGCGTCAGGGTCGTACAAACAGGAAACATCCTAGATAACAGGAGCCGGGGCTGGGCATGGGGCAGAGGTCAGCCACGGCAGTGTGAGCTCCGAGTTCGCTTCCCAGAGACACGGGACGGATGCACAAGTGTGGGTGCGTGTGCCCAGGTCACGCCCAGACGTGTGCTTTCTCTCTCCATGAGGAGGCCGGAGCAGTGATGCCCTGCGGTGACACCCAGTGCCCGGGTCGTGGGCGATTCTAGGCGGGCACAGGGAAAACGCAGGGGAGCCTGGAAAGAAAGGAGATGCTCAGAAGGAGTGACCCCCAAAGGACAGAGCCTGTCCATAGGACACGTGGCCAGAGGGTGGCCGAAGCCAGGAGGTGGGCAACAAGCAACAGTGTGGGATCATGATCAAAAACACGTTCTTGAGTCCGGGCGGACGGACCCCTGAACAGCTGGAGGAGAGGGCAGACCCTGCTTAGAGGGGAATTTCAGAGAATTAGTTTAAAAGGAATGAAGAAGAGAGACGCCCGCGGTGACATTGGCTGTAGGAAAGATCCACAGGTGAAGGTGGAGATTTTAGGGCAAACCTCCAAGTGTCTCCCCAAATATGCTGGGCACCCACCACGGTTCTGTGTGCTCTCCTGAGGCGGCAGCTGCAGGGGCTGGACCGGGTGGAAAGGGGAGATGGCCCAGTGCCACCAAGGACCTGGCCCACACTGCCCTAGCCACAGGTCAGGAGCAGCAGCGAGACATCACGTGATGCGACCCAGGGAGAAAGGTCACTGGGGTGTCCTCCGGGATGTCCTTCTTCAAACCCAGAACCCAGACAGCACCGGGCCAACCCACCCAGGCACCACTACCCTGGACTGGTGCTCCCCAAGTGTCAAGGGTGTGAGAAGCCAGGCTGGGGAGCCCACACAGATCCAGGGGACCAGGGAGCCTGCGGAGCACAGGGGGTGACGGTCCTGGCTCAGACGTCAGGGTTCAAGCTAGGGAGGCGCCGAGCTGTGGCTCAGTAGGGGTGCAGGGCTGGTTTCCTGGTCTGGCCAGCACCCCGTGGCCATGGGAGATGCTAAGGGGAGCTGATGAAAGGGATATGGCAGCTCTAGCACCTTCTGCCCCTCATGTAAATGGAAAAGATTTTATATCTTTATACACACACACACGTAGATAAATAAATAGAGTGAAAAAACAAAACCAATATCCAGTAGTACCAATGGATCCTAAGTACCCAAAGACGTGGGAGAAATGTGGAGAAACACGAGCACTTCTGAGAAACGCACAGGACGAAACGCGAGGGGGGCCTCAAGGCTGGGAGATCCTCCTTAGAGCTGATGCCTCTCTCTAAATCCCCAAAACAAAACACCCAACAGTCCCAAGGGTTGTGTGTGAGCACCACGGCAAGCTGATTCCAAGGTCTTGCCATTCTAAAATGCCAAGAATTGGCAAAGCTCTTCAAGAACAGGGCAGTAATCCTGTAATCCCAGCAGCTGGGGAGGCTGAGACAAGAGGACCACAAGTTCAAAGCCAGCCTCAGCAATGGCGAGGCCCTAAGCAATTCAGTGAAACCCTGTCTCAACACAAAATAGGGCTGGGATGTGGCTCAGTGGTCTAGTGCCCCTGAGTTCAATCCCTGGTCACACACACACACACACACACACACACACACACACGAACAAGGCAGGGAACTTGGGTTTTACCCAACATCAGAACTTCCCCCAAAGCAGTGGTGATCACAACTGCACCATGGATGCAGGGAGAAGGACAGGCCGCAGGGCAGGACTGAGCATCAGGAAGGAGCTGCTGGTGGTGCTGTCAGGGTGGCACCGGGGCATGGGAGGAAGATCGACGTTGCAGTCTGACGGCCAGGGCAGCTGGCTGAGTGCACAGGGAGAGGTCACATTGGACCCTTAATTTGCCATACACCAAGAAGGCACGGTTGGCCCGGGGATCGAGACCTAATATGAAGAGTGCGACCATAAAGCCTGTATGACCGGATGTAGAACATCATCTTCATGACCTCAGGGCTAGGAAGGAAGTCTTTTTTTTTTTTTTTTTAACAGCAAGAGTAATTAATTTGTGTTATCAGTAAGAGCTGATGGCCCAAGTGTATCTTAAAGAAAGACTACCTCAAAAGCACACCTACAAAATACAAAGAACTCCTGCGAATTAATAAGAAAAATACGAATGACCTAATAAAAGACGGTAACAGACCAAAAAAATAGCACATCAGAAAAGAGGAGTCCAAGCAGGAGGCTGAGAGCATGTGGAAAGGTGTCGTGCCTGAATAGCAATCAGGCAAATGTAAATAAACGCAGGAGCTCCTGGCCCGTGGGGGCCAGCGGCAGGCTTCCAGCAGGAAACTGAACAGACATTACTTAGTCACAGCCGGGAAAGGGCTCCGAGTGAAAGGCTCCGTGCCCAGGACATCCTCAGAGAGACCAGGGAAGGACCGGTAAGCCTCAAGGAATGTGTGCGCACTCAGGGCCTGCAGGTCTGGGGCCTGGCGGGAGCCTGTTCCCACCCCCATCCAGAGACTCGGGGCTGAGATTCAAGGACCCTGCGTTATATTATACAGTTGTCAAGTGACGGGACTAAAGCTTCATCCAGGATTCCAATGTTCTTTTGGAAAAAAAGAAAGAAAAAGAACACAAGTGCATATTTCAAGGTCTGCATCATCTACTCAGGCCAGGGAGGGGCCGAGTGGAGGCTGGGGGACCGMGGTCCCCACACCAGGACAAGGAGTGCCGTCCCTGCAGCCCGAGGGCCAAGGGTGAGCCTCTCAGCTCCTGAGCAGGGCCCAGCCCTGGGTTTAGGAAACTCAAATGTGCACATGGGTCGGCTGCGGAGCGGGTGGGGCCCGCACCTGCCAGCGAGGAATGCGCGCTCTTGGGTTTAATCCTGGGAACAGCACAAGGGGCCCCTGCAGGAGGGTCAGGGAGAGGGGCACCGCAGGGTTGTTCTCGAAATCAAAAGGAGAGGCTCCTGCCCGCCAGGCGTGCGTGTGCGTGTGCGTGTGTGTGTGTGTGTGTGTGTGTGTGCGTGTGGTTGGTGGGGTGTGTACCTCCTTCATGGGGAGCAGTGTCCAGACCGCCACCTGCCCCCACTCCGACCTGCATACACAGCCAGAGCAGACTCTAGACAGGAGCTTGCCCCCCACCAGTGCTGCCACCTGAGGCAAGGGCCCCGCTGGTCACCCCGCCTCTGAGGAGCCCACGGCCAGCCCCTCACAGACAGCCGAGCCCTGTGAATGTGGCCGGGCAGCACATCTGGACACCCAGACCCGCAGGGGCACCGGAGCATGCCAGGTGCTCCCTGCAGGACCAGCCAGAGTGCCTGGCTCTGGGAAGAGCACCGCTCCCGGTGACAGTGAAGT